ATTAAAAAAAAAAAAAGGAAAAAAGGGGAGGAAAATCTCACCGTATAAAAATAAAATAATTTCAGCCGAAAGATAATTTCAGTCTCCTTGATAAAAAAAACGAAACGTTTTTCTTTGATTTTACAATGTTGGCCCCGAATCTGAAAAAGAACATTATAAAACAAAAAGAGAAAAAAAAAAATTTAAGTCACGTGGTGTACAAGTAAATATTTTTTTTTTTTTTTAAATAAAAAATTGTTTTTATACCTGAACTATTTTTAGATTCGTTGGCCGGAATCGATGTTCCGTGCTGTTGTCTTTTTATGTACAAATTTAACAATTTTCTTTTGCTAGGACATAATTTATCAAGGTACGGACCGAGTTCTTCCTCGCCGAAAACGGCATGAAGAGCGACTATACAAAAGACTACGCTTTTTCTAACGGACGAGTGCTCGCTGTTGTAAGCCTACGAGAACGAGAATGATAAAGAAAAATTGAGATTTAATCGTTCGATTGATCGATCGATCGATGAATCGATTTATTTACCTCGATCAACGCCGTCATGGTTTGCTTCAAATGCGGCAATATCAATTCCTTATTCCTGTGCTGAACGACTTTTGTTATAGTTTTAACGGCGTACATGTTTGCCGGATGTTCTTTCGTGTGAGCGAATGCGTTCAACATTTTCAATGTCGTATCTACGGGTAATACTGTTGCCATGGCCGAACAGCACGTTTCCGCGTGACGCACAACCTCTTTGTTATCCTTATGCGTGCCTTCGAACAATCTCATGACTTTCATCAAAAGTAATTCCGTGAAATCCGCAAACAAATGAGTCAAAGCTGGTTTTTTAAACATTTCCGTTATCGTTCTCAGGACTTGAGTTATGACGGTCACGTCGGAAATGACTTTATTTGTTTGTGACGCGTCTATTAACGGTAATAACTGTACTAAGATTTTAAATAACTTCCTGGAAAATTTAAAAAATTTAAATAAATTTTTTTGTATTTTTTCTTTATTTATAATAAATTTCCATTTCCGGTTTTTCACGGTACCTAAAATTTTGAGTGAGCGTCAGAGTGCTTCCCTGTCTGACGAGTCTGAATAAAAGAACTAAGGCTTCTTTTTGTTGACTCGTCAACGGATCGCTATTGACCGAGCCTAAAGTTTGAAGAACGTTTTTCCAAGCCTCAGCTTCTTCTTCGGGATTTCCCTCTTGAAAACCATCCGCATCGTCCAACGAATCACCCGCCAATGTTTTTTCCATTCCGTTGTATTCTTTTATGCGTTGAGTTGGGGATGACAACGACGAGGAGTGACCCTGTTTTCATAATAATAATAGTAATAATAATAATAATACGATCAATATTTAAAAGGGGGGAAATTTAACAACAACAAAAAAAATAATTTAACGTACCGAGTTGCTTCCTTGTATTGTTATAGCCTCGAATCTTTCTTCCAAAGCCTCCATTTTATCACCCGGACCCGCAGACATTTGACTGATACCAGAATCTTGAGATGTCGTATCCCGATCCCGTTCGACCAATTTTGATTCAAAGCTATAATTTTGTATTTCCGCCGTGGTGCGCCTTAACGACCTGAAAAAAAAAAAAAAAAAAATTTTTTTTTTTTCGTTACGTTCCGACGGAAGAAACAATTTTATATATATATATATATATATATATATATAAATAAAAATTATTTTCTTACTTGTAAATTTCATCGGAATCAATGGAATCGGGTTCGTAATGATTATTTTTTAAGCTAAGCAATGAAGGCCTTGATGGGCTCAAAGGCATCGGCGCGGGGCTTGAGGGGGCGGATCCGCTTCCGCCTCCTCCTCCACCTCCTCCCCCACCACCTCCCACGCCGCCACTAGAATAACGTAAATGACTTTGGACTAGATTTGCCGCAAGCTCTTGATATTCTTTATTAAATTCCGCCAATTTCATCGTTATCAGGGATGGATTTAAATTGAACAAAGCAACGATGGCTTCTTGTGCGGCTCTTTTAACTTCTCCGCTTCCTTTCGCATCCGAGCCTTTTGTCCAATTAATCATTTTCGCAAGAGCCGCTGCTGTCGGATCTTTTCCGCCGCAACCTGAAAAAAAAAAACGAACATTTATATTTATGACAATTAAAACAAATTACGAGAGACAGAGAGAGAGAGAGAGAGAGACGAACTGCCTGGATTAAAATCGGACGATTCCATTTCCGATGCAAGTCTCGTCAAATAATTTAAAGCGGCCACTTTGACTTTGGTGTTGTGCGTCTGTGTCGGATCGATTATGAAACGCAACATTTCGTTCATTTGCAATTCCGTAGAAAAATTTTCCCTGATAAAAAACAAGAAAATAATAATAATAATAATAATAATAAATCTTTATTTTTTTAAATGAAACTCCACGAAGAAGAAGAAGAAGAAGAAAAAGGTACGAGGAAAATTCACCTCACTAAAGACAATGTGTACAAAATTCTTCTTCCTATCGACGTCAACACGTCGCTCCCCAATTTATTCAATAATTTCGTTAACAATATATACAACCAATCATTTAAATCCGCTTGATGTTTAATTATTATTTCGTTAAGAGTGTCTAAAAAGAGCGTGAACGCCTAAAAAACAAAACAAACCATTGATTCGCATTTGACAAAGTTTTTTTTTCCATAAAATTTCAATCAAAAATCAACAAAAAAAAAAAAAAAAACTAAAACTAAAAAAAAAAAACTAAAAAACAACACCTTTGTTTGAGAATCCATAAACATTTTAGTAAATATTTCGGTAACTATTTTAAGTTCTAACGGAGTTAATAAATTACCATTTCGTAGATACTGATGCAATCCGACGAGACCCTCTTTTCTTTCGCTCCAAGATGTCCTCGAAAAACTCGCTATTATTTCAGATATATCCTGCGCAAATAAAAATTAAATTAAAATTAAATTTAAATTAAATTAATAATTAATAATTAATAATTAATAAAAAAAACAATTTAAAGAGGTGTAACTAACTAATTTATCTACGTAATCTCTATCGATACTACGAACTACAATTACAATTACAATAATAATAATAATAATAAATATTAATACTCTTTAATAATTAAACTGAAGGCTACAAGAATAATCATCATCATCATCATCATCATCATCATCTACTTACCCTACATCCTGAATCGTTCCAAAAATCCTTGTATATTCTACTTTGTGATCCGCTCCATGAATAAGACTGTAGCCACAACAAACAAATCAAAGCATGAGTTGCAATAACTAATTCTATACAATATTAAAACAACAACAAACAAACAAACAAACAAGCAAAAAACAAACAAACAGAAAATTTCAAACGAATAAGAAACAAAAAAAAAAAAAAAAAAAAAAAAGGCCGTGCAAAAAAAAAAAAATGTTAGTCTTAAAATTCAAGAAAAAAAAAAAAAATCCACAAGAAACAAATTTTTTTTTTTTTTTTTTTTAATTAATTATCGAACGCAACATAATAAATATTAAATAATAATTTTTAATAATAATAATAATAATAAAAACTTTTTTTTTCACAAAAACATTCACGAAGACAGATTTTTAATAAGTTTAATTTAATTTATATATAAATAATAAAAACGATTAAAACGAAACTAAAATAAAATAAACGAGATTAATAATAATAATAATGATAAGCTATTTAAAAGACAATCCGATAAAAATAACAAAAACGTAAAAAACAAATAAAAATTTCAAAACGTGTCAGCAGCCTATTTATTTATTTTTTCTGATGACACGATATTTTTTTTTTAAAATTATTTATTAGGACATATACTCACATCAGATGGTCTTCTTAGCGAATCAAAGCTTCTTTCCGAGCACACGCTCGACGTTTCCGATTCGTCGGAATGATCATCAAATAATTTACTCGATTTTTTCAAATTTAAAGATCGAACCAAGTCGTTGTGACCGTCGTCAAAATTCTGGAAAACAAAAATAGAAAGAAATAGAAATCGGTCGAATCATTAAAAAAGTAAAAAAAAAAAAAAAAAAATGGATTAATACCAATGCGTCAGCCAATGCGTTTTCAGCTTCTCTACTCTGTTGTAAAATTTTTTGAGTCATTACGGGTCTTATAGATGATGGCGGTCTATCCAAAGATGAATAATGAGACAATCCTCTACCCGTACTAAAAGATGGAAGGAAGGAAAAAGACAAAATTACTCGTTTTATCATTCGAGAGAGAGAGAGAGAGAGAGAGAGAGAAAAAAAATTTAAAAAAAAAAAAAATTTCAAACCGTAATCTTGAGAGTGATCCGAGTCTCGAAGGACTCGTTTCTCTGGATGTTTCCCGTGAATTTGTCGAACTCCTCGGTCCGGGTATTCCCGATATTCCACCCCCGGATAGTTTTCGAGGCCTCGTCGTCGGTGACTGATAAGTGTGGTAACTGAGATGAGAAGATGGTGATGCTGAACGACTTGTAGCTAAAAAATTTAATAATTATTTCTCTTTCCGTTAATAACAAAATAAAAAAAAAAAAAAAAGGCAAAAGACTCACGTTGTGATTGCGAATAACCGGAAACTCTACTTCTAGGCCGGCTGAGCCTTTCCGGTGATGCCATAGCCGATATTTCTGGAGATTTTCTCGATCTCGCTAAGGGAATAAAACAAAACAAAAAAAAAATCATTATTATTAATTAATTTCATTCATTCATTTATTTAAAAATTAAATTTTAAATAATTTTTCAAATTGTGACGTAACAACAAAAAAACAAACGAGCAAACAAAATTAATTAACTTACGGGAACTGTAACCGTGTTCGTCGCCTTTTGAACACGATACAAAAGCAGCCGACGGAAGAAAAAAAAAACAAGGAAACGGTTTTCAATAATAATAATAATAATAATAATAATAATTTATTGAACACTCCAAGAATCAATGAAAGAAAGAAAAAAAAATGTAAAAAACTTACGTAAAGAAGCACCGGATCCGGCTTTAAGACGATTCATGGCCGCATATTGAGCTCTCGCATTTGCCCTTTGGGCGGCTTGCAAATCGATGGCACTGTTGGACCGATTTCCCGGCGACATTATTTTCTTTTCACCTGAATATAGGAAATCATAGGTACCCGTTTACTATTCGTTCGAATCAATCTCGCTTTCCACATACATAATAACATTAAATTTCCATCATACAAATACATCTAATTGTGTTTTATATTTCGTTTAACAAAAAAAAAAAAATCAAAATAATAATAATAAGAAGAAGAAGAAAAAGAAAAAAAAAAAAGCAGTAATCACCTCTTTTTTCCTAACAACAACAACAACGACAACAACAACAATAACAACAGGAGCGACAGCAGCAGCAGAAACGGACAACAACAATCACAATCGCAATCAATTCTTCCGGGCTCATTTTTCATTTCGCACTGGTTTTAAAAGTTGCATTCTTTTAACTTAATTTACCGTAAATTAATTTATTCTAGGGGAAAGGTTAAAGGTCAGCGAATAATAAGGGTTGTAAAATTATTTACATTTACCTCTACAGCTATTACACTACTTAATAAACGAAAAACAAAAAGAAAAAAAAATTTTTTCCCAACTTTAATTTTATTTAAAGAATGAGTAAACCGATACATAAAAGAATTATTTTATACCTTACAAAAAAAAAAAAAAATAAATAAATAAATAAAAAATAAAATAATGATAATGATAATAATAATAATAATTTTTTCTTTTTTTTTTTTTAACATATTAAAGGGTTGCGGAAATCGTCGAGCAGAAAAATTCCAGCAAAATTTTTTTCCTCCCATTTTTGTTTTTTTTTTGTTTTTTATTTTCGTTTTTGTTTTTTTTTTAAATTTGTAAAAAACTGAAAGAAAGTTTAAAAATAAATAAATAATATAAAAAGAGAAAGAAAAGAAAAAAAAAAGAGAAAAAGAAAAGAAAAGAAAAGAAAGAAAGAACATGTTTTTCGCTTTTATGTTGGTTCATCTCATTCATCATTGAACGATGACCAAAGATTGTCGTAGGGGATTCGTATAATCCTCGGATTCTTCGTAATCGGAATCCTCATCGAATATCCACGATTCGTTTCTGTACAAACAAGTCAACGCTTTCGAATTATTATTATTATTATTATCGTTACGTTCACCGTCGTCGCTGTTGCTGCTGCTGCTGCTGCTGCTGCTACTGCACATTTTTTTAGATTTCAAACAATTTTTCAACGGATCGTCATTTATCAAATTTTTTATTCTTTTTCTCGCGGATCTCAAATTCGTTTTTTTCGGACATTTTTTCAAATGATTTTTTTCCCAATTGATTTTCACTCCGTTGAATGGAGGGATGAAATCTTCCAATAGAAATCCCGACAAATCCGTCATAGTTTCCACGTCTTTCGTGTTACCGTAGTACCATTTTTGATTTTTACCCTTCATCCATTTTATCTTATCTATTCTCCTGAATCCGGTTATCTTGGGAGTCAATTTACTGAGGGATCCTCGACTCAGAGTCACGTTGAATGTTTTTTCCGTTTTTTTAAGAGCGGGAGGATTTATTTCGATTCCCGTCGCGTGCATACCGACGTGGGAATCCCCGAAACAACCCCCTTTCAAATCGTTTTTCATTTCGATCGGGTAAAAATCCGCCAATGTTTGATCCGAATTTTTTTTCTCGAATCTCGAAAGCGACGGAGATGATTTTCGTAGTCCGAGATTAATTAAATTCGAATATTTGACACTTGTTCGAACGGTTTTTTTTTTCCGAACGACGGACGGAATCTCTTTTGACGTTCCGCATCTGAGCGACAACCCCGAATAAACTCCTCTCATCAATTTTTGGGGATTTCTTTTTTTTAAAAAACTTTTCTCCCGGACGAGTTTTTTCTTTTTATTTTTAATTCCGCGACAAATTTTCGACATGCTCGGAAGACGAGATTTACTTTTCGAGGGAAAAATGTCGACACTTTTAACTTTTTCCAATAAATCTGCGAATATTACATTTACTGTTTTAAAGTTTTGACTCGATGGAAAATACTACTACTACTACTACCGTTAGGGGATCAACAGAGAGAGAGAGAGGGGGGGGGGAAATCCTACGTAATGATTTTAAATTTAATATACCTTTTTTGTTTTTCTTTGGGATACGAGAACATTTTGTAAAAACATCTTCAACGATTGAAAATAAAGTATTCGCAGAGTCTCTTCTTTCGAGAGACAAATTTTTCTCTGAAAATGAATTTCATGATTTATGATTCATTTTTTTTCCAATAATAATAATAATAATAATATTAATATTAATTTTACGTTATCATAATTTAAATGTTCGAATGAATGCATCCCTATCGCTATAAATAATGAAAAAAAAAAAAAAAAAAAACTTCCGTGATATGGCGCGTAATTATTATTATTATAACACAAGTGCGTGTGTGATTTAATTAACAAAAAGAACCTGAACTTTAAAAAGCACGTTTAATCAAATATTTATACGAGATGTCAACGCGATCGTGATGAAAAAAAAAAAAACCGCCATTTTAATTCATACGATGTGAACTCGAAAGTGTTGTTGCCCCCTCGAATAAAAGTATTCGAAAATAAAAAAAAAAAAAGCTGAATATTCAAATTGCGACGTTTTCTTACAACGACCGAATAAACACGAAAGAAAAGAGGTGAGAAGGGGGGCGGGCTGCGGGGAGGGGGGCGGAGGTGAAATACCTGAAATACGAATCAACGAATACGCTCGTTAGCGTAAAAGTTTAAGTTTTTTGGCATTTGTTTCCCATTTGGGCACGCTTCGGTAACCGAAAACAACTCTGTTATAACCTCGTTTAAATTCAAAACGATTCGTTAATATACTTTTTCAAAATTTAACAAGACACGCAGAGAGAGAGAGAGAGAGAGGGGGGGGGAAGGGATCAAGAGAGTAATTACGAAAAAAGAGTTGACGACTGCTCCTTAACGAAGAAAAAAAAATAAACAAAACAAAAAAGGAAAAAAAAACGAACAAATAAAATGAAAAAAAAATGGGGAGGGGAAAACGGGTGGGGGGAGAGTAGTAGCTCCTACGTAGCCACACACTACCTGATTCCTGAGTTTTAACAGGAATGCCAGATCTACGAGTTCTGGGAAGAGACGGAGTTCTATGAAGTTGTTGATGATGATGATGATGTTGTTGTTGGTGGTGGTGGTGGTGATGAGGAGCCGAATGATTTCCGTGATGAAGATTTTCGTTACTTCCTTCCGGTTTAGCAAATAGTATCAATTGAAAAGAAAATTTTTTTTTTTTTATATATAAAACGGAACCAATCAATCAATCAATCAATCAACCAATCAACCAGCCAAATAAAATAATTATTTGTCCTGGGAAATTTTTCTTTTACGAATGCAGAGTTAAGAAAAAGTCAAATGTTCACAAAAAAAACAAATTAAATCTGAAGACGAGGTCACACTTTGACCTTGACCTTGAGGCGGGTATTTTTTTTTTTTTTTTGACAAAAATGAAAATCACTAATTGAATGATTAGTTAGGTTTCAATCCAAATAAATTACTCCGTGTGTGCAAATCAAAAAGAAAAAAGTTTTTTGTGCAAATGCTTACCGGCGGACGTGACTGGAACGCGAGACCTTCCAGAAGCGGACGACTGACGAGTTAATGAACCCTGATTAAGACTTTGATTTGAACCTGATAGTGAAGCTTCTCCGTAGAGCATTTTCTTATACGAATAGTCAAGTGTTGCCAATAATGCATCCGCTTGATCGGGAAAATATCCTTTGAAAGCCCAATAAGCTCTAAGAGAGAAAAAAAAAAAATCCAAATAAATTATTTTGTTTTAAATGATCGATTCGCGCTTTTCTTTTGTTTAAATAAATGACGTCATCTTTTTTTTTTTGTGCACACCTTCTCGCAGAGACTCTGGCTTCCTTGTCAGCATCCGACACACCACGTCTGACCGCTTCTTGCAATAGAGGCACACGTTTATCTAATATTGATAAAGGCCAAGTGTGAAGTAATTGATCTAATACGTCGCACATGGCTTTCCGAATTTCCTTCGACCTCGACGTTAGATTATTATTGATTATGGGTAATAATCTTTGATTGTGTACGTTTTGTATGATAAAACGAATGCAAGTGCAAGCGGACGAAGCGATCACCTTAAAAAAAAAAAAAAAAGGAAAACAATCAGAATTTCACGGATAAAAAATAATAATAATAATGAAAATGAAAATGAAAGTTGACCGTACCTTGGCACTACTCTGTATCAAATTAATCAAATTTTGAAAAACGACTTCTGCGAAACGTCCAAATTTAATGCCTAGATTTTGAGCCAAATACGCGATGGTGACACAAGTTTCTCGTACGACGTGAGATCTGCAATTCAAATCGTAAAAGAAAACAAAAAAGCAGAAGACATTAAACAACGATAATAATAATAATAATAATAATTTTAGTAAATTAATTAATTTTCCGAGCGCAAAGCTTAAGGTTAAGTGAAGCATTCAAACGATTACCGAATACTATTATTATCATTATTATTATCATTATTTTTAATTTTAAATTTAATTTTATAAAATTAAATTCGTACCTTAACGAACAATTAAATTAAAATTTTGTTAATTATCACGTTTTAAACGTACCTTAAATCTTTCAATGATTCTATGAAGGGCAATTCCCATTTTTTAATAAATTCGTTGAATTCTTCGTAACTTGCGGCTCCGGCGATAAGCAAAGAACGTATGCGTTTGAACTATAGCAAAAAAAAAAAAGATTATTATAGTCTTTCATCGGTAAACGATGTGATTTCTTTTTATTGTATTGATTAAAACTCTTACAGCATCCACACGTTTATCCCAATCAGTTTCGACGTTTCCGATTGTCGTCGCGATTGTATTAACCATTTCTTTTAATTCGTGTGTTGAAAATATTTGAACGGTAGGCACATCTTCGAATGCGTTTAGAAAAAAATCTTCATCTACGGCACCAGCTAGAGGGGGGAGGGGGAGAAAACAAAAATTATTTTCATTTTGCAATATAGAGGGAGGGGAGGAACAAGTAGCAGCATTCGAATACTCACGAACTAATGAAGTCGAACCTCCTAATGGAGTTGAAGGAGGTTTTCTCGATTGTAATGTTTTCACAACCTTTCTTTCGACCGGTTTATCAATTTCGTCTTCGTAGCGACCTAAAATCAAAAAAAAAAAAAAAAAAAAAAATTAATTCCCTGATATTTAAAAATCCATTTAAAAAAACAAAAAACGCAGGAGGTTTTAAACAAAAGGGACGAATCGAATTAATCTTTTCCTCTTAGACAAAAAATATTTTATGACCTAAAACAAACAAAAAACAAAAGCCTTTTTATTATTCCCTTTTTTTTTTTTTTTATTGTTTCGGGCATATTTTTGGAACGACTATTATTGTTTGAAAATTCCAATTTTTCCCGTCGTTTCCCTTTTTTTTTATTTATTTGTTTTTACTCTAACTTTCTCCCTCCTCCCCCAGGTTAATTCGACCAGATTTCAAACTTTAATAAACACATTTTGGATTTGAACCCCCGAAATCCTTTCATGTGAAAACACATTTTCTTCATTCGATAGGATTTTCCTAACCGCGTCTCCCCCCCCCAAAAAAAAAATTAATCAAATAAATAAATAAATAAAATATCGAAGACAAAAAATTTCATTTATTCTTTCCGGCTTGTTAACTTTTGTTCGAGGTTACAGAATAATTATCACGTGTAAAAGATGGTTCTTTGCATAAAGGTAAAGTTGTTTTTGTATGATTCTCCTTCCTTCTCCAGGTCAGGCGTGGTTCGTTCCAGCGGACAACAACAAAATATCACGTGTTTTTGTTACTTTTTCTTTTTCCTTTTAAATATTATTTGGTCAATAAATAAATAAATAAATAAATTTTTTGTCGGAAATTTGATTGTCGTTTAATCATCCCATGTAACCAAATTTAAATTATAAAAAAATTTTAGTTTTTTTTTTGTCTTCCGTCATTTCCTCCATCTTTGACGTTCGTAAACAAAACAACAACAACAACAAACATACTCACATAAGAAAACAGAAAACAAACGATAAGACAGGAGTGTCAAGGTTTTTTTTATTAACTCTACAATCGACATTAAAATTTTTTTTTTTTGTTCTGGCAAAACATTTAACGTTCACGTGTTGCGACACGTTGTTTAAACCGCCACCACCACCACCGATGAAAATATTATGAAATTTCGTAATATTTATAAAAAATAATATTTCTATAGGAAAAATGATATTTTTTTTTTTTTTTTTTTTTATACCTGAAATTAACTCGAATTAAAACTAAATAAATTTTAATACGAATTAACACGCGTGATCATTAAATGTAATGACGATACGTTTTTTTTTTTTAAATTTAAAAGTAAATAAATTATGTTTACAAAAAAAAAAAAAAAACCTAAATTTGCAATTTTTTGCTACAAAAAAAAAAAAAAAAAAAAGAACCAAAGCGTTACCAATTTCGGGCCAACTATTGGGTTATGGACCTCGTTCTCGAGGAATTCGGTCTTGCTGATTTGTAGTATGCTCGCAGTTGATTCGGATATTTAATATAATAAGTAGACAATTTCTACCTGATGTATTATATTAACCAGAAATACCACTAGTTACACTACTTTATCAGTAAAAACACTAAGTACAATATAAGTGGAAGTAGAATATGATGCTCTTGAATCCAACCCAAGATGCACTGACTGTCCCCAACGCTATGCGATAGACACAACCAGGCAGACTCTGACTGACGGACGGATGTCGAAAGACCAAGACGTGGTGCCGAAGCCCACTATTTATATGAAGACCAAAACAATCGATGCATCTGTTACACTTGAAGTGACCAATAAATCTATCACCTCCTTCTTAAGGGATGAATATGGTCTTTGTTCGCTATTCCAGTTTAATGGAAAGAACGTGTTCCAGAATGTTGAGTAAACAAATAATGTCCGCGTTAATTATGTCACGCTTATAAATAATAAACAAATACTCTCATTAAAACTTCTCAAGCGGATAGATTTGATTTGGAATAAACAAATAAATAAATATCCATAATAAATAAATAATATAAATTTTAAAACAGATGCCCTCGTTGTTGGCCAGATTTCGTTGGGATCACAACAATTGCTAAATTCAAATCCCTTAACATAATAATAATAATAATAATAATAAAAAAATTGGACAAAAGTTTGAGGTCGCGTTGTTGTTAATGACATTTCTATAATTTTATGGAAAGTCGCAAAAAGAATTTAAATAAGAAAGAAAAGAAAAACAAGGTACGACCGTTTTACTGACCGATTATTATTAGACGGCGGTGGAAAACTCACATGTTTCCATACATTTTTCCCTTTGAAAAGAAAAAGGCGTAAAAGGAATACGCACGTCATTCATTCATTCATTCATTCATTCATTCATTTCTTCCTTTTTTAGATTTCTCTGTTCTTTTTTTCTTTTGCTACAGTTAAACCAAAAAAAAAAAAACATTCGACGAGCGATTCTTTTTGTCTTTTCTAACACCTGAAACGTTTTATTTGTCGATTTTGTCGTCGCCGTCGCCATCGTCGTCGTCGTCAAGTATCAAGCCACTCATTAACTCAAATCGAATAAATTAAACAAACAATAATAATAATAATAATAATAATAATAATTACGTCACGATAACAAAATGACTGAGTACAATTCTAATTTCGTACAGAGAACAACAACAACAACAAAAACTTATTAAATTACGACGAAAACAAATCGACAAAATGTTTTTTTCATTATTATTATTATTACTATTATTATTATTATTATTATTATTATTATTATTATTATTATTATTATTATTATTATTATTATTATTATTATTACCATTATTATTATTATTATTTATTTTTAATAAACGCGTCACAAAACGAGAGAAATATAAAATTTTCGAAAAACGCTAAAGTAAAGTTTTTTTTTTTTTTTTTTTGTATAATAATAATGATGATAAGAATCGTAATTTTTTTTTTTTATAAAAAAGTAGAAAATTCATTTTTTTCCCTAAGGGAGGAGAAAGGGGGAGGGGGGGGAGGGGGTAAAAGAAAAACAAGACATGTTGTATGTGCAAAAAAAAAGAGAGAGAGAGAGAAAATTTTTATGATAAATGAATGATAATTTAAATTATGAAACAACAACAACAATAACAACAATAACAAATGATTACAACAACATTAATAAAAATTTTTAAATAAATAAATAAATAATTAAAATAATAATAAAAATTGTTTCTTTGCAATGTGAAAATTTCTTAAACCTTAAAAAAAGCGCGACCTTGAGGAAAATGCATTTTTTAAATTTTCTTTTTTTTCGCTTATTTTCACGCAAAAAAAAGAAAAAAGAAAAAAAATGCGTGAGAGGTCACAGAGAGAGAGAAAATACACATTGTTGTTATAATTGACAATAAAATTTAAAAGATTTTCCTTTTGTGATTCGACGATGAAAACTTTCAACTTACACCTGCGTCTCGGAAAAATCGTAAAAAGAAAATGTTTGGGAGGAGCGGGGCGGGGGGTGGGAGTGGGAAAAGAAAAACCTTTTAACGACCGTGAATTTTTTTTTCCGATTAAATCTTTCTTCGGCTTTGTTTTTTTAAATAAAAAAAATTTTTTTTCATTTTTTGTGCGTTTTACGCTTTACGGAAATAATAAAAGTAATAATAATGATGATGATAATAATAATAATAATAATTATCGATAATTACCGATGAGTATTTTCCTATTGTTAAATTTTTTTTTTTTTTTTTCCTCCGTTCATTACACGCACACACACCTTGACTAATTGCCATCGTTTAACATAAAAAAATTTTCTTTTCAAATCTCATCAAAGAGATCGACAAGACAAAAAAGAAAAAAGAAAAAGGAAAAAAAAGCACAAAATACGATTTTAACTTCTGGAAATATGGAATTTGACAGAGCTTGCGGGGGGGTAGGGTGGTGTGATGGGGAGGCCTTTCATTGGGTCTGCAGGTACATAAATCATTTTTCCCGGTTGCTTGCCTCCGTCGGGGAAACATAAAAATGTGGAGAGAGAGAGAGAGAAAGAGAGAGAAAAGAAAAAGAAATAAAAAATTCCGAAGGGTGAAAAAAAAAATGAAAGGGAAAGAAAGAAAAGGAAAAACGGCGCGAAATAACAATAATAATAATAATAATAAAAGAAAATTTTCAACGCCAATTCAATTTTACCTCTGATTTTCCAGGAGGAAACGTGGATTTCGCATTCGCATCCTTTGGCTCGTCCTCCGGGATGTTTTATTATGTTATCAAATTGCAATATCCATTTATTTTCGACTCCCCACAAATTTTCATCGGGTTCGGGGGGACATTTGACGGGCGTACGTTTCCAAGAATAAGGTATGTACGAACTTTTGTTATTTTTACCATCGTCACCGTATTCCACAGCCGCCATTATTATTATTACTATTATTATTATTTTTCTTTTATCCGATATCACGTGATTAATAATTTTCCCAAACGCATTTTTTTTTTTTTTTTTTTTGATTACTTTAAAATAATCGTTTTACGAACAATTTGTAACGTATCCGTAAATCAAAATTTAAATTTTTTACCGGAAAACGTTTCGAGGAAATTTAATAAAACGAATTTTACGCGCACACGCACGCACACACGCACACGCAATTTTAAACGAAAATTCGCTTACACAAAAAGTTTATTTTATATTTTTTTTTTACTTTAAAAGGCTCTCGCTAAAAAAAAATCAAAAAAATGTAAAAATTTAAAATTTAACCCGAACGCCGGCCATGTGCGTAAAAAAAAAAATCAATAATAATAATAATAATAATAATATAATATTATTAAAAATTTTTTTTTTACGTGGCACGACCAGTCACAAGTAACAACACTTGGGAGATCCATCCTTGACCCTCCGAAAGAATATAAAAAGTTTCCCAGGGGACGGCGTACAAAATTCGTCAAAATAAATTCTGGCGAGTTAATAAAGATGGAAAATAGACTCCTCTGACGTCATTATGGAGTAGAAAAAAAATGTACACAAAGTGCGTGTATGTCGCAAATAATGAAAAACTAAGAATTACTCCTTTGATAAAAAATCAAAGTTACACGCCGCCATTTTAGAAAA